TCCTCACGATTCAGTGTTCCAAATTTTATACTTAGCTGAAGTTCTTGATACATTTTTGACTTGTCAAGACAAGATCCCTCTAGGACTCAGTGCAAAGAGCTAGGTGACACCCAAATTCTTTCCTTCCACACTGGACATTCTCCTGACTAAGGTCCATACCCAGGTGAACAGACACCGGTCCTGTGTCCTGCCCTTCTCCATACCACACAGTCATGTGTGTGCCCAGAGACTTGATTCCACATTTGATTTCACTTTTTCTGGTACACAAATTACCCAAGACATTACCAATATACACTACTGTATATTCTACATAATTCTATATATTGGATAAGTTTTTCACGCATATATAAACTTGTGTTTTATAGGTGTGAAACACTAATCATGCAGATGCAAAACTAAGAAAAGTTCTCACTCTTTTGGTTTTACATCCTAGTGGTGAGAAGACAAGTTCTCAACAAGAATCATATCATCAAAGTTCTAATGGGACTGGTGTCTGGGGGTGGACAATAGCTTTTTGTTTTTAAAAAGAGTAAGACTCCTGGAAGCCTGGAATAATTTCTTGGGTCCTAACTCCAGCTGACAATAGTTTCTAGCTCCTCCTTACCTTCTAGATTAGGCAAATTGGTAGACTATGACAAAGTGCACCATATCTCCCTCCACCCTAGGCAAGCACTCCTTATCTGCTGCGCTGTAACAAGGGGCCAAGCATCAATGCAGCCTAGGTACCAATCCTCTGCATTCACTAGGCCATTGGACAAAACCATCAGCTTTGTCTAAAATGAATGCATTTACCTTGCCAAAGATTCTGCTGTCTGCCTATGGCTAATCTCTTAAAAAAAAAAAAAGGGGTACAGATTCCTTCCCCTACTTGATATTTTAGTCTGTCTCCATTCACAGGTCTCTATGCCTGGCTTTTTAAATTGGTCCCATTCCTTCATGAAGCCTGAACATGTGTCCTGACATTTAGGAGTGCTTCTTGATGCTTCTTCAATGGAAATCAATGGGGAGGAAATGACAGGTGGCAAGTAAGAGAAGCAGAGAGACAACTTTTAAGTAAGTCATCCTGTCTCAGGCGTTCCTGACTCAGCCAGGGACTAATGTCACAGGAAGCTGCTTCCAAGCCCAACAACATCTCAATTGGCTGTTTCTTTTTTCCGTTTTGTTGCAAGCATTAAACTCAATGATCACAGCCAAGAATGGTGAGCAAGTCAAGACTATCAGAGGGGCAGAGGCTTCTGAATACCCCAAGTCACCACTTCTAAGTCACTAGAGGCAGCAGAGCAAGAGACATACCCTCAGTTCTCCCAGGGCACCCTGTAGCAATCTCTTACTTTTTGCTTCCCTCTGCTAGACCACGGCCCTTCAGAAACCACCTTCTGCCTTTTACCCAGTCTTCTCCCTGCCCAGACTATGAACTAGGCCAGGTTGAGACCTCAGTGACTTCTGTGCCTTCCATGTCTCCCTCTCTGGACTGGGCTTTTATCTTATTATTTGGTCACCAGTGGGCTCCTGACTGATGGTCTCCCTCCTCCCTGTAATTGTTTCCAAACCCAGATAGATGGGTTTAGAATGCAAGTCTGGCTCCTCACTGTGGTAGCAAACATCACAATGAGCAAACACAGTCAGGCACAAAGAAGTCAGAACATGCTGAGCACCGGGGTAAATATTTGATGAAATTTCAAGCAGATTTGGGTTGGATAATGGTATTACGGTTCAGTTTCTCATAAAATCCTTTATCTTTTGGAGACAGGGTGCTGAAATATTCATATGCAAATCGTGGGACTAAGAATTGCTTCCAAACTCAAGCCCAGTGGTGGGCAGACTGAGTGTCGATATAAATAAAACAGACTTTTCAATGACTTCATAAATGTTGAAGTGGATATGGGGATATAGAGGTTCACTTAGTTATTCTTTCAACTTTTGCATATCTTCCTATAATAGAACATGGTGAAGGCAGCCCATATTGCACACTTCAAATGAAAATGAAAGCCACAGTCCTTCAGAGGCCTCCAGGGCCGAACACTAATTGTTCTCAGGTTCTCTTACTTCACTTCCCCTGCTCAGACCCTTGTTGGCTCTAAGGATGTCTTACTCGCCTAGATATGCCAAGCAGCCCCTGCCCCAGGGCCCCAGCTAAGGCTGCTCATGTCCTTTCCACAGCTGTCAGCCTGGCCAGCCAACTCATTGCCTGAGAGCCTGCTCAAGCCCATCATTCTCTTTGGGACCTTTCCACATCAACTGCTTAAACACTGACAGCTGTGTCTGCATCCCTCCGCCTGCCAGAATATCAGCAGTATGAGGGCGGGTACCCTCAGTAGACCATCACCACGCTAGTCGATGATTGAAGAGTCATTTGTTGAAAGGATAACTTCTAGTAGAAGGAAAAAGAGGAAGATATAAGGTTAGGGTAGGATGGGTAGGATAAAGGTGAAAAAAAAAACAAGAGAAGAATGAAAAGATATAGAAAGGGAAACGGAAGGGGTAAAGTCTTCAGGACAGTTTCAGCAGGACTAGAACAAGAGGTTATGAGGCTCTTTGGGATTTTAACTGATTCATGCCCAAACTAAAGAAGTGTCAACGACACTGCTGGATGTGATCCATGCACAAAAGTCATAGTAACTCCTCTCTGTGGAACACTTCCTGTGTCCTATAACCATCTTCAGCATACCATTAACTACAAAGCTGCAACAGACAGCACCTGCTCCCACATCACTCACTGGAAGGGCAGCAGCCTTCTCTAAGCTGGGCTTCCCTTCTCTTCTGAATATCTCATCATCTTTATCCATCTCCCCCAGGGACCTGATCTAGCTTAGCTTTAGGGGACTTTGAACATCAGACTGTTGATCCCTACATCTTCTGGGCAAATTCTAAGACGGATCGCAGAATACCTACGCAATGTCAGAGCTTAACATACAGTGTGGAAACAGGTGATAAAAGCAGGCAGGCTTTGGAGAAGTATGTGGTCTTCGGCAGGAATACCTGAGGGGCCGTTGAGCAACTGTGTTCTACAAGGGTCTAGCCTTGATTTACAGTAGCTATTGCCAGATCTGGCACACAGTTGGGGCTTGCTACATTCATGTCTCATTCCACTCCAGCCATAGCTCTACCCTACCCTCTCCATTGTTTTGCTTCCCTTGAGTCTCCAAGTCCCGTTCTCTAAATCTCAGGGCTCAGTTCCCAAGTCTCTTAATCCGTGGTAAGACTGAACTAAGTCAAGCTCACTCTTTATATGTGGTTGATGTGGCTCATAGCGTTTAAGCGCTTGCTAGCACGGCAGCAACTGATTTGGGAAGCACACACAGTAGGTTCCAGGCAATCCCAGACAATAAAGTGTGGGCCTGACAAGCCAGCTCCCACAAGATGTTCCTTCTCCACTTGGTGAGTAAATTAAAGATGTGAATAGAAATTGCCCATAGACATCGTTAGGTAAAGAGTTCTGTGTACCATTCTAATATTGTATCGGGGAAAGCAGCAATGACAGTGACACATAAACACTAAGTATTTAATATGTGAACAGAGTTGCCTTAAGATTGCATGTTCAGAGAATAAGAGCCCCGACACAGGGACAATTTACTTCCTATTCTGAGCTTCCTTTCTCACAGAGACTCAGCCATTACGAGGCTTCAACTCTACAGTAAGAAAGCAACAGGCTTGCAAAGACCAGGGGGCATTCGAGGGTCACATAGCATGGATGTCAAGTCTATACACTTATTTCAAAGCCTAGGCTCCTTGTACTGCAGAGGAAAAAGCAATATGGTAACTACTTCATTTGGCTGACAGGGTAAATTGAAACAGGCTATGGCTGAGTATCCTGAATGTGACCCTCTTTGTCTCCTACCCATAGTGCTTTGGACACATCTTGCCACGTATCCCCTGGACTTTATAGTGAGCTTCTACTAGAATCTTAGAGGTTCAAGAGGTTCAACAGAATTGATTGACAGTTCACCGGTAGTCAAGGACAGGTAGAGTCTATTGAGTGACAAGGTTGCACATGATTTCAGGATGAAAGATGTGAAGTATTGTAGGCCCAGCTCTCTTAGTCAACCCACGGCATACATACATATAAAACCATCCTCCAAAGGAGCTACATAAACTTCAGGCTAAATAGGGCATTAAAGTAGGAGAGAAAATGCCTCCATCAGATGCCAGGACCTCTGCCCCAACCCATAGGTCAATTGCTCCATTGCTTCTGGATGCAAACCTGCAGAGTAGAGAAGCTGATTGTGCCAGGAGCTGTCTGCCTCACTATTGGATTTATTTAACCTGTGGAGAGCTCTATGTGGAAATTAGAAAAGAGAGCACAAGCTTCAGAGTTAGATTCCAGCAGATGTACATGAATTCTTCTAGGGACTGCGGATGCAGAGCTGAACTTGAGTCCTGGCTCAGTTTGCCGTGAAACATCCAGTAGAGTATCTGGCTTGCATATGCTTCTTTAGACCTCTTGCTGAAGATTGTTACATTATTCCAGGAGTGTAAAACTTTACATATGACAGCTACTAAATTAAACTAAACTTAATTACGTCAAATCGACTACCATGAGATAAAATGTTCAATAACGATATAGATTTTTAAATTAAAGTTGTATCATGTTGGCAGATTGCAACCTTTGTCTCTATTTTCTCTTATACTTTTCTCCAAATTAAATTCTCACATCATCTCCTGTTAGAAGCTCTGGCTCATGCTGGCCTGGGTCAATCACTGATCCTTGAATTATATACCCTGGTTAGCTTCTTTCTTTCAGGAATTCCTATTTCTTAGGAGTGTGTGTCCCTATGCACCAGACAGACAGACAGTCACAGACTCTTCTCCACGTCTCCAAGACCCAGATCAAGGCAGAGAATAAGGTATATCCTCAACCAGATTAACCAACTAAGCCTAGTCTTTCAGTTTTCAATATTCATGGCAAGTCCCTGAGGTTGAAGAAGCTGGATGAGGAGATTTGAGTCCTCTGTCGGATGACATGCAGTGGTGGCCACGCAAAGGGAGCATGGTTTACTTACTCGGAGACCTTGAGGCCCTGGAGGTCCATCTCTGCCTTCTGGACCAATCAAACCCTTTGGAAAAAGAAGAGAATGTTACATGTGGACTTCCACGGCATGGCATATGCTCTTCCCTCTCACTCTCATTGAACAGGAACATGTCACTGCATCCAAATGGGAAATTATGGGGTCAGAAGGGAAGCAGCAATCCATGATCTGCCATCTACCCTAAAATATACAGACTGACTGATATGAGCTTTTAAAACATGTTTAACCAAAAGACATGAGCGGTGTCATACACTTTGAGGAAAGCACAGTAGGAATGATATGGCTAATGTAATAGTTTGCATAAAGCACAAAGAGAAGAATCCCCTAAACCAAACTGTGTAACTCTTAAGTATGTCCACTCTTTCCATATTTCTGCCTCAGAATAAATTAGCTTGGGTTTTCTGACTCTTAGGAGAACAAAAGGCAAAGTATTAAAGTTAGTACAAATAGAGCCTGGAAAGATGACACCATTTATAGAGCATCTGCTGCTCTTGCTAAGGCCATAGGTTCAGTTCCCATGACCCACATGGTGGCTGATAACCATCCACAGCACAAGTTTAAGGGAATCCTATCCCTTCTTCAGACTTTCATAGGCACCAAGCATACATGTAGTGCATTTACATACATGTAGGCAAAACACTCATCCGTATGTAGTAAAAATAAATCTTAAAAAATTAAAGTTGGTCCAAATAAAATTATCTAAGAAAGGCACATGTCAATTAGAGAAAGATGTTGAAGGCTGTAAATTCTGTGGGACCTTTAGGGTGGGGGTCACCAGACATTGACAAAGCTCCATCATGTCTTCTAAATAGTGGAGATGTTGTATTCATCTGCTAAGTACTTGAGAAGACTATATGAAGAGTGGACCCTCAGGCCTCAACACTCCATCATAATTGTACAGAACATGTGAGACCCTCAAATCCAGCTCTGGCTCTGTCACCACATCCTGCTGAATTTTGTCCAGAAATGTCTTCCTTGAACTTCTTATCTTAAATAATCAGTATCACATAGGCATGGTCCCTGTGATCAAATGTTGCATGACTCTTTGGTGACTAGTCTATATTTAGAGCTATGCTCTTTGCTTTCTATACCACCATGTAAGTAGTAAGGTGAATCCATCTGTGGCATAGTATGAATGGCATGCACAAATTCTCCTTCCACATAAGGAAGTGGCTTATGCCATGCATTGGTAAGATTACCAGAACTTGTTTCATCTTAGGGAAGGGAGAAATGTTGCCAGCATTCAGATGCAGAGTATCATGTACTATTCCCAGGATATATTTTCTTCTCCATGGGGTTGCTGAGGTTCACAAACTCAAAAGTTTTCTATTCTTCACCAAAGTCATTAAAGCCAGTTTCCCAGTTTTACTCAATTCAACGAATATTTAAACAGTAATAGATCTGTGGATGGGCTCTGAGGTAGGTGCCACTGGGGATTCAAAAGAAGGTAATGATGCAGAACACAGGTTGAACTCCATGTAGGCTTAGCAAATCTCCAAGAACACTGATTTGTACATCAGCCCGCCTAACCCTCACAGCATGATTATGTAATGAAATGATGACAATGATAATTTTCCAGTTAGAGATGAATCAGTTGAGTACTAGAGTTACTGGACGCTGTTAGCAAAGGTACAAATCTACATTTTAGAAAGATACCATAGGTTAGGTGGTCAAGGCCTTTGTCTTCTAATTGTGAGTGCCTTCCCATGGACACCCTGTTCTTTATCCATTCTAGTCATGTCCCACTGGAATATTCTCCTGAGTGTCCATTAGCAGGAACATCTCTCCACAATTACTCACTAAGTTCTCATCATGTATAAACCTTGTAGATTTCAATACAGGAAAAATATTGATCCTGGCCTTAGAAGTTTATGCCAAGTATAGCAATAAAATGACTTCTAATAGCATATTTCTATACCAGTTGATCAGAGCACTTTTCAACTTTCATCAGAGAAACTTCTTGCAATAGATGGGAGTTAACACAGAGATCCACAACTGGAGAAGACAGACTTTGTGGGCACTCAGTCTTAAAAGGGATGTCTTCATCAAATTCCTTCTCCCAAGACGTAGAGATCGATGTGGAGGCAGAGAAGATTATAAAAGCCAGAGATGGTGGAAAACTCCAAAGAAATAGTACCTTTCAGACACAACAGGACTGAGGCACACATGCACTCACAGAGACTGGCAGCATACAGAACACCTGCATGGGCTGAAACCAGATAAAATCCCAGCACTAAGAGAGGAAGTGGACACAAAGCTACACCTCCAACCAAGAGTCTATTTGCACTTAACACCTTCTGGGAAACACAAAATCAGTTTTTTCCCAATGCAATGTCACTGGGTATATCAACCATAATCCAGTGCAGGTCCCATGCTGAGGAGTACTCCTCAAACACAAAGAGGCTTCATGGATTTGAGCTTGAGTGTATGTGCTGAGGGTGTTTGTTTACTCTGTTTCTTTGTTTGTGTGGGTTTTGTTTCATTTTGATATTTTTTGCCATTAATGTTTAAAAACATTTTTTTTTGCTTGTCTGATTTTTTTTTTGTTTTTGTTTTTTGTTCTTTATTGAGAGAAAGAGAGAAAACAAAGTTAGATGAGTAGGAAGGGTCGGGAAAAGTTGCAGGAGGGAAAAGAACATGATCAAAATATACTGATAAAAACAAAGGTAATAAAAATGAAGGAAGAAGGTGAGAGAGAGAGAGAGAGAGAGAGAGAGAGAGAGAGAGAGAGAGAGAGAGAGAGGTAACTTTTAAAATACATTGTATAAAAAAAAATTAAAGAAGTTTAGTTCTAGAATGGTGTTCCCTTTTAACAAAGACTTTATCTGAGTGCTTAAGATAAGTGCTCAAGTCTAACCAAAGCAATTTCATTATCGACACCTTGTATTGCACAAAGTCTTACTCTTCAATGACAAGAGTGTACAGCACAGGAGACCATCTTCAGTACCTCGGACAGTTCTTCAACAGCAGTTCTTGCTCCAATGGAGAAGCTTAAGAAAATTTCAAGGCCCCCCCCACCTCAATACACTTCATGATGAAAAGCACCTAGGCTACATAGACAGACACCCAGTTCGATTTTTTGTTTTGCTTTATAATAGCTTTTTAAGCCAGCCAACTACCCTCAAACCAACTCCTTCACTGTGTCAGATAAGAATAGAAATTCATTGTTTTCCAATTGTGGATCTCCAGTATATATTTCCATACACACACAGACTAATTCTCTTAAAGATTATAGAAGATAGCAATTGTCCTAAAAGTTTTTGATATTAAATCGTTCTAATTACATTAAAATCAAACACTATCTAGGTTGCTTTAATTATCTACCTATCAGAGTATCCTAATAATGAACAGTGCCAAAAGCTTAGCATGAATCAATTTAGAGATGCAGTTGCTTCATTTCTCTCAATAAAATACAGTGATGTAAAAGATCAGAATCATGTTGCCTAGAAGTATAACTTTAACCTCCAGCCCTGAGAGAATTCACTACTTCAAATGACCCCTATAGAGTTCACTGCATTTTTATTAATTATCCTTAGAATCTGAATGTTCACCATAAACGATCACAGGGACCCTTCATCTCATCCTAGCAAATGGTTATTTTTCACATCATTAGGTTCTTAACGGACGCAGAAATTAATGGCTGTACGCACAGAGCCTCCACACAGTCAAAGCTAATTGGAGGGGTGGGGAAAGTATATATGCAGGAAGTGGTTCAATTGACATTTAAGTGCCTGATCTGAACAGAAACTGACACACCAAGAGTCCCTGATCATGGCCTGTTTGGGGCAAGGGGCTCTGAATGCAGGCTGCATGATATCTGTACTTGATTCTGTGCCAGCTGCCTAGAGTTCATTGTCCCATGAAGAATGGCGATAACCACAGCACCTACCCAAGTGATAGCATGGCTTCTGGAATAATTCTGTATTCAGCAACAGATAGACTATACATTTCTAGACTTACAAATATTAGGCACACCCACCATTAGGGAGTAGTGACTTACAGGTGCTCCTGGAGGTCCAGGTAGGCCTTGGTGACCTCTTGGTCCAGGGGCTCCCTGAAAAGACAAGCAAACAGGCATTAGTCACTATATTCCTTTCTACATGATCAGGGACACCACTGCCCATGACCCTTCACTGTCAAGAACTTACTTCCCAAACTCCCAGAAAGCACCAAAGGCATGCAGGCATTTGATTCCCCGGGTGGAAGTCAATTGGACATATCCCTGAGCCCAACCCCATAGCTGTGGCCTTTCTTCTGCTACAGCTTAAATCTCCCAAATGGAAAGACCCATTCCACATACCTGCTCGCCCTTCAGACCTTCTCTCTGCACCTGAGAGACAAACAGGATTAGCAAAGCTATCATCAATTTCCTCAACAGTAATAAGCCACCCTCAGTTCCATTTCAGGTATCCACTCCCGCATGCCACGATGCCATGGTTTCTGACTCTTCTCAAATATAATCCAATGATTGGATTGAATGCTGTTTTGTTAAAGGCTTTAACAGCATACATTAAGAACACACAATAGTGGGATTCATGGTGGCCTTTTCATGCATGGATGTAGTACCCTGATTCCTCCCTCAGCAACCACTAACTGCCTATAAACCCCTGTCATCAGATGAGTTCTTCTCTATGCTTAGAAGTCACTGCTCTTCCAATGACCCAATTCCATGACCTTATGAGTACATGGGCTCCACCAACAGTGACTCACCACAGAGCCTGGCACACCAGGGGGTCCAGCAGGCCCCACATCTCCCTGAAGAGAGACAGAAAGCACATTAATGGCTATTGTTACCACATTCCCCTTTTACCTTTTCCCTAGCTCTTGCTTACCCTGAGCACCAAGAAGATCTTCTCTATGTTCCATCACACATATCAGCAATATGCTTAGACATCCACCTACTTCACAATATTCTTGAAGAGCACCCAATTCTTATCTCATCATCCAGCCCATAGGCTACTGGAAAGCATGAGATTCTTTTATTTTCTCTTACCAATGTCCAGATCTAGCTAGCTGTTCTGTGAGATTTGTCATACCTACACACTGTCTTATAAATAGCACTGGACCACCTTTCTGGGGATACCAGATGTAGCAGGCTTTGTGTTAGATACAGAAACAGCAGCAATTTCTACCTTTGCAATGGCCCTTGTGCCAAGTTCATGGTTTAGCACATGGTCAACATTTTGTTAAACATCCTCCAAATGAGTAAAAAAAAAAATTTATATATATATATGCTGTGAGAATTTCAGTGCATTTTCATTGTCACCAGACAGAGTCATGTAGTCATGTTCCATGTCTTTCCTCCCTCGTATGCAGGTTACCTGGGCTACGTTGGCTCTTGTTCTATCCGGTTGCCTAGGCCATAAACTGCATGTTAGTTCTACATAAGACATATCTGTCAACTATGGCAATACAAAACCCTGGATTCCATGACTCCAGTGCCTGATAGCTAAGGCAAGGACACTGCATTTAGATAGCACCTCTAGCAGAAACACTTTTCTCTTACCTACATGTAGTAGGATATTTCTCCCACTACATTTTACAATAAGGCTTGGTAATTTGGGAAGAGCTAATATGGGAGAAGTGAAGAGAGAGAGAGGGAGAGGAAGAGGAGCGAGGAGATGAAGGAAGAGACAGGGGGAGAGATATAGCAGCATGGAGAACCACACATGGGTCCAGAACAGTCCTGAGTAACGATTTATATCATAAGGTTAGATATTGGGAAACAACTCTAATTGTGTGGGCAAACTGTTATTTGAACATTTCTAAATGTATAAAGCCTTTGGATAATAACTAAGGTTAGAGTCTCATTTCTACCTGGTACCGAGTGGATGGCAGATATTGTCTGGGGTTCAGCCAAGCTTTGTGGAGACAGTGTGGTAGATTGGCAGAGCCATCTCCCATGCTGGCGTCTTGTGAGTGCCAGGGTCGGTGCTTTGTCTAGTCAGAGCTGAGCAGCTGTGAGAGCATGCTGCTGTTCTTAGCCTCAGGCCTTGTCTAGTCCGGAACATGGCTGCCCAAGAAGAACAAGCCAGAGTGGGTGCCGCTGTTTTAAATATTATCATCAACACCTATAGCCCTGCTCAAGCAGTCCAAAGCATTACTGATTAAGTGAAAAATGAATGAATGAATGAATGAATGAATGAGACACTGAACAAAGATGAAAGCCTGCTAAATCTCAAGGCTAAGTAGAAATAACTAGTGACTCTGGGCATGTTTGCCACTGTCTACTGAATTTTGGAGTATGTTAAATTAATGAGGTACATGCCCTATCTGCTTCCCCTTTAGCCCTCCCTTTGAGTCCAAAACCAACTTAAGTACTTCTTTTCTGTCCAACCCCACCATATCCTATCTCTGTCTGAAAAAAGAAAAAAATCACCAGTACATCATCAAGTTTACTTCTAGCAACCCCAGTTGTTCTTTGATGTGTTTTTCATGTGCATGTTTGTGTACATGTGTGTGTATGCATGTGAGTACCAGAGGATAACATGGGGGGGGGTCCTTCTTCAATCAGGATTTATTGAGCCAAGATCTCTAGCTGATGCCAGGGTTACAGGCAGGGTACCACAACAGTCTATTTCTTCATTTCTACAGGGTTACAGTGCTTTATCCACTGAACATCTTCTCTGCCTCTCCAATTGCTCTTTTCTATGTCAAAAGGCTTGCATAAAACACAATGGGAAAACTGCAACTTTATAAGCAAATTTTAAATTTACATTAAAAAAAAACTAAAAGTACTTGAGTGACAGCTTCCCTTGCTGTCATTCATTTTTTTGTCTCTCACTATAATAATTGAGTTCTACCTAACAAGATCCTTTACTTTCTCTGAGTTACCACACATGGGACACATGCACACACACACACACACACATACACACACACACACACACACACACACACACATACACACACACACACCTGCATGCCCACATTGTACATTTAAAGCATTCTATAATCTGTCCAGGTACCTTTGTAACAAGTACTCATGAACATACATGTCCCATGTACTCAGGCACTAGCTCAAATAATTTTATCTGTATTTCTCTATGAATATTTAATGTCTCTGGGATGGTTTTATTCATTCTATACCTCCACATGCTTTATTAATACTTTGGTAACATATGATTGGTCAAGGCTTGTTGTTGTCAGGTTTTTCATGGCTGAGATGAAACACTACAACAAAAACAACTTGGGAAGACAATGATTTATCCTGCTTAATCTTCATACCACAAACTATTATCAAAAAAGAAATCAAGGCAAGTACTTAAGGAGTACAAGCAAGGAGGAGTACTTGTACTCATTTCTTATGGCTCACACAGCCTGCTTATGACACCCAGGACCACCACTCAGAGATTGGTACCACCCACTGTGAGCTGGTCCCTCTCATGTCAATCATGAAATGGCCCATAGGCATGTCCAGAGGCCAATCTTATAGAGGCATTTTCTCAATTGAGCTTCCCTTTTCCTAAATAACTAGCTTGTAGCAAGTTATCATAAAACTATAATATAGCACACACCTATACTATAATTTTGTGTGGATGTGCCACACACATATGGACAGGCAACATTACAGACAGCTGAATAATGAATCACTATGGCTCATTATGAGAAGGCATAGTTTGTCATTAGCATGACTAAACAAAAGCAATTGCAAATAACAGTCATGAAATAAATCAATACGTGTTTAATCACTTGCAGGTAATAATGAAATAAAATCTCTTGGTATACTCAATTTTTATTGAGCAAAATAATATCCTAGTATTCATCTGTAACAATTATGTAAACAGAACCAATAGTTATTGACCAGTTTCTAGTGGCCATGCCATTCTCCAAGGACCTAATACAGATGAAGTCTTTCTCTGAGTTAACAATTTTTTCTATCTTAGAGATGAAGAAACTAAAACATAGAAATATAAATTGTTCAAAAATTTAATAGTGAATATATTCAAATCCTTCCTAGAGTCATATTTTCAATGATATGAAACAATGTTATTTAAAAAAAAAAAACCTGATTTAGCTGCTGAGAAAACTAACTCCTAGGATGACCCCCATATTCTAGTATTGGTACACAATGCACAAATCTTTACAGTATAGTGGTCAATAAGTGCCTAATTGTAAGCACATAAGGAAGCCATTGTGATTTCCACATTGATGTTCTAAGAAGGGTTGTGGCATCTACTGGGTGTTTGTCATTTTTCTTTACTCAAGCCATGTTCTCCACTGTGAACAGCACTACGGAGAAGCCACATAGCCCAAAAGCACCAAAGAACTGGCCCCACCAATAACAGATCACATAAGCAACAAGGAATTAGAGTCTACAGCCCTAGGGCATGCTTGAAATAACCACAGCCCATATGAGGAGACCTCCTGAGCTGGGACAATATGTGTCCCTAGATTATTGCTCTGAAATATCACAAAATCTTGAAGGTTTTCTGATAAGCTACAGAGGTATGGAGTCATTTGTTGTATAGCAATGGATAACTGACATACTGGAAATGATCTCGTTCAGTTTTCAACACAGCCTAAGATGCTCTGACGTGTATTACTGTGTATCTTATGTGGTCGTGTGGATTTAATAAAATCTCGTGGGGTCATAGGCAAAATAATATTTTTTGGTCTCTGTCTCTTATCTGTAAAAAGAATGTGCCAATGGTCCCAATGGCTTCTTCAATAACTGTGAGGCAGCAAAGGTCTATAAAATCCTAGATTCTTTCTCTCTCATTATGAGATGACAGGCACCAGACCATGTGAACCTGGCTGATTTGTAATTATCTCTAGGAATGCCCCAAGTAATGTAGTGACCTGTGACATGGACCGTCCCCTTTGCATTTGCCTCGAGAAGCAATAACTCAGCATTTCCCCAAATATGAGAGGATAAACTAAATCTTCATATTCAACAGAAAGACTCAATACAAGCAACACAACACACACACACTCACACACTCACAACAGGCCTGCACAATAAGCATTATTCTTGGTCTTACTGACTTGAACAAGTAACTCATTTTAGGATTTTAGATCTCTGTAGGAGTGTATTAAAATCCTAATACTGGAATAATACAGCAATGCAAATCTCAATTGTAAAATAAGCCAGCAGGGGAGAAGAGTTAACTCAGCTAGAAATGAAGCCAAGGTGAGTGAGAGGGAAACATAGGTTCTCCAGCCTTGTCCCTTTGTGGAGGCTTTTGGCCCTAATTTCTATTGATTGACTCACTGCACACCATAGGTGCTTCTGCAAAGCTTTCAAGGAAATGTCTTCTTTTACTTTAACTGTTTGCAGGAAACCTGGCTGTCCCAAGAGGACCATCTGCTTCCTGCTAGAGTCACTCTGAGAAGCAGAGATGTAAGGTTGCTCTGATCCAACCACCCCCAGCCTCCCCATCCACCTCTATATGGGGCCCGCTGACTCATTTCTTCTAAATTCCTCTAGGGTTCAGTAAGAAGATCCTCTTGGGTCCTCCCCCAAGGCTATCTCATCATCCTTCCTGCTGTGAAACCAAACCCACACCCACTCCCTTCACTTCTGCTCTCTGACTGGAATGCTTGGCATTTATCTTCGACACTTCACATCCTGGAAAGAACCTTACTTGCAGCCCTTTTGGTTAAGATGCAAAATTCTAAGCACCACATTTATTAAACTAAGCCTTGCTGAAAGCACTCCAGTGTGAAGGGCCATGGCGACTAGTGATTTCAGAAATGACACAAAACATTTGTAAGACTGTTAGGAAGAGAGAAACAAATGAAGGAAAGAGTATAAAGAAGTACAAAGATGTTTTTACAATTATGGTTTTTACTTATTGGTAGCATTCCTGAGTTCAAACAGCATTCTAAATAACCAAAGATTTAAATATATCTGGAGATCATGTGGTTTTTCCATTTGGGATTTATTTTTAATGACCATTTATTCTTGAGGTTGGAAAACAATTCAAATGTGACAGGAAGACATGACTTGGGAGTTCCTGATGCCCTGTGAGCATCCTCTATGTGCCCCCTCTTCCCAGAGCTCATCCCCCAGGTTCTGCCTGCTTACCTTCTCTCCCTGCAGTCCTGCCACACCAGGAGGTCCAGGTCTTCCCTGGAGGAAAGAAAGGAAAGGTGCATTATGGCAGGCTCCAGGGATGTACAGAGATGAGTGTAGAAGTGGGGATGGGGCCTTCAGGAAGTGTAGCTTACACAGCTGGGTTCTCCTCAGGAGCCCAGGTTCCCTGATACCCTCTTCTGAGCTAGTTTCCTTTCCTATTAGGAAGTTCTTCCTTTGGAAGTCTAAATCCAGCATTGCCATGCTGCCATTTTTGGAATCACGCTGGCATTGCAACTGGACACCACAGTTGAGGGAACACACAAAGCCACATTTTGCATAAAGATGGGAGTGTCAGAGAGAGGACCTCACATAGGCAGAAGCGTGAAGAACCCAGATTTGCCTTGGGCCAGAGGGCAAAGGGCAGAGGGCAGAGGGCAGAGTGATGGATTCCTTTGGAAATGCTGGTCCCACATAGTCTCCAAATTTGAGAAGAGTCTGCCTATACTTAGGCCAGAACTAGAAAATTGCCATGGGGAAACTGATGACCAAAGAGGCAGCACATGAGATGTCAAAGGCATCTTTACAGGATGGTTCCTGCTGACAGAAAATAAGCATACCTGACAGCTACAAGGGAAGGAATTTACTCTTTATTCTCCTGTGTTATGCTCCTCAGGAAATGAAAGGACTTGCAGGAGAGCCAGACAAGCTGGGGCCACCCACCAGGAGACAGAATGCAAGGGGAATTTATGGTGATCCACAGCAGTGTGGCCATCTGTGCCTAGCACTTGCGCTTCCTTCTGTTTAGTGGAAGTCCAAGGAAGCCACCAGTCTGCACTTTCCAGTGTGGCCTTCCAGAGCCTCAGCCATAGATGCACTTTCTCATGAACAATCCTTGGGTCCATGACAGCGCAGTCAGGATTTCCTCATGGATTTCACAGTTCCATCTCCTTCGCCCATATCAATACATGCTACTATACACAGCCTTGTCTCCTTCATCTGCATCAACGTATCCTGCTAGGCTCAACTCATTCTATATGCTGAGCACTCTGCTTCTGATTTTCCCAGAGGTGTGAGGCAGGCACTATCCCTTCATGTTCACCATTCTGAGTATGTGCATCATCCAAGGGCTTTACACTATGACAATATATCTTATTACCCAAGCTACAGTGGATGCAAAGCAGTGGGATTGTTGGAATCCCTGTGGTGATGGAGTTCACAAAATCAACACAGCTGAGGTCCTTGGTCTTGCACTACTGTTGCTCCCACTGAATAGGAAAGAAGCTGAGGCTTGTACGGAGGTTTGCTCATTCTTGTGTCAAGGACCATGGCCCATCAGCCCCAGCACCCACCTACCTGCTCTCCAGTCTCTCCAGGCTTCCCAGGGAATCCATCCAAGCCTCGCTCCCCCTAGCAAAGAAGGAAAATGAAGAATGAACAAATAGTGACCAGGAGACAGTGACTCCCTATGGTCATTGTCACAGAAAGGAAGGGCAGCCTTCGGATCCGAATGCCTAAGCATGCTCAGATCCCCCCCCATCAGGCTCCCCCACATAGAGGAGAGCTAAGCACATCACACAGGACAGCTCTAGAATAGATGTTATTGGGACCGAAGTACAGAGGTGAAAGACCAGAGAAACTATAATTATATCTGTTTCCCTCTGTGACCAAGGGATGGCATACTCCCCTCATCACATGAATCTTTGTGTAAATAAAAGAAATAGATGCATGGTGTTTTTAGCAAAGTTGACAAAATGGCAGGTATACTGTGTGTGTTATCCACTCAATCAGCAAGTATGAGCATCCACCAGGCTCTCAGCCCTAGGAACAATTGACCTCTGGCCCACAGCAATAGCATCCAGCCATCTATCTAATCCCCATCCCATATGCTCACATTCATAGGCAGTTGATTTGAATCTCTTATTCCATGTAGTACCTTAGACAAGCATCCTCCTTGCAGTTTGTGGGAATAATAATTCCTCCTCTAAGACACGGATAAGTCATTGAGATATGTCATGCTTCTCTCTGCTGCATGCTAGCTTCCTTTAGCTGGAGTCCATGAAGTCAGTGTGCTCCGCATGACTAACCTGCTGTCTAGTATCCGCACCTGGAGTCACTACCAAGAAGGGATGTGAGGGCTCAGCTAAAAGAATAGAGACTCCAGTAGGGCTATTAGTGCTAATATTAGGTACCTCTTGGTATTCCTCAGCTGGTATAGCTTCCTTCTTTCCCATATCCACCTGCTTTTCCTTCTGCTGGCTGCCCAGTTCCCTTAGGGGTCAGCTTCAATTCACTTCCTTGACCTCTCCAACTAATGACATGCCTTATTCTGCTCCAAGATGCGCTCATTCTGCCCTGTCTCATCTCCTCTAAGTTGATTTGCATTTATTATTTTGTCTAAAGCTTGTCATTTTTTCCATACTATTCTGTCCCTCAGGCCCAACCTAGAACCTCATGGTACAGCTCCGGGTGATACTGAGTCACAGAAATACAAGAAAAATTACTCTAGACTCTTCAGTTTTCCTATGGCCTTATTTTCCGAATTGACTTTGTTTCTTTGTTTTGTTTCCCTAACACAGTTGCCTCCTTCCTTCCAGAACATGTGAGTGAAGATTGTTGTCAGTCACTGAACTGAGGAGCTCAACTACTTCTGTGACTCCAGAGCAAGTAGTAGAGCTTTCCCCAGGAGAAGACTGCTCTACTTCTATTCCCTCTGAGGACTGCTGGCTAACTGGGGGATGCTCCTCTCCCTGGGGGACAAACACTGATGCTTCTAGTCCATGTGTAATAGGAGATACTGCAGAACTGCCTAACAGAGCTTCGCAAGTGCTACCGCCCAGTTAATCACCTGCAGCTACCCCAGTGCCCTCCTCCCCAAACCCTATGGCTTGATCTCTGGGGTTGTGCCAGGAAGCTAGCTTTCTTACCTCATGACTTTTAATTTCCTTTCTTCTGCACTCAGGCAAATGAAACCACCTCAGGTGTTTTCTGTCTTCTAGAAATTATTTAGCATGTCTTGAACATTGATTTCAAGTACTATGTGGTAGGTAATTCATATAGAAAGCCTCCTTATCATAGGAAGCTCTGGCCATGGAGATAAGTGATGTCTGCATTTTCCTCTCTGCTCAAAGGTTCCAAATCTGTTATTATGCCTTATCTCCTTCCTGTCTCTTGCCATTTTGGCAGGCTTGAGCACAGGCAAATGAGAAAGCCAACACTCAGAGTCTAGAAGCAAAGTATCGTATCGAGCTGAGTATGTGAGAGTGGAAGCAATTCTGAGCATCCTAAACCTAAATCCTCGGCCTGTTTCCACTACCCCAATGCCTAGGTAGGGTTCCCAGAGCAACATGCTGGGTTCCCTCTTCATGACTAGGCTGTATGAGTTTTAAGAGTGTTAGTGTTCATGGGTCTCATTCCTACTCCATAGCTGGTATTATACCTGTATTCAAAGTCACAAGGATATAACCATGTGATAGAAACACTTAAAAAAAACAGAAACTCCTGAATTCCAGTTCAGAATACTCTCCCTGATAAATGCCACCTGGCTAAGTTCTACCTCAAAGCAGAAGAATCTATGTTCCAAGTCCTCCATCACTTGTGTCTTAATATCTGAAGACCAAATTGAGTACTCAAAGTTGAGAGCCCAGAGTTCTCTCAGATATAGCTCAAACAGGACAGAGTAAATATGGGGCAGACTTACTGGACACTTGGACCTTGTCTGCTCAGTAGCCTGCAACCGATGCACCAGGCAGCAAGTAGGAATGCAGATGGGGGAGCAGAGATGAGCAAAAGACACTGAGAACACAGATGAGAGAAGCAGGGAGTAGCTGACAGAAAAGCCAGGCACTGAGGTTGAGAGCAAGTCAAAGAAAAGAAAGAAATGGGAGTGGGAGGAAGGAATACAGAGACACAGGGTCAGGGAGAAAAAGACAACAGCAAAAGAGCTTAGGAGAGGATCACAGAGACAAAGAGAAAGACTGAGGGCTGAGCCAAAGAAACGTAGAGACATACAGAACATACACAGATGAGAGACAGACAAGACACAGGGCAGTGAAAGAAATACCGGTAAAGAGACAGATGGAGAACGAAGAGAGAAGAACAAAGGAGGAAGAAAGAGACCCCAAACACAGAGTAGAGAGGCTGAGACAGAAAGCTAGGCTATATAAAAGAATGGGAAGGAGGGAAGGGGGAAGAGAGGGGGGAAATGGGGTGAAGGGAAAAGAGACAGACAGGTGAGACAAACAGGAATAGCAAGGGACTGAGACAATAACAAGTTGAGAAAGAGAAACTAGAGAAAGGAAGGAGGAGGAGGCAGGAGGAAAGCAGAGAGAAAGAGAAAAAGAGGGTGTGACAGAGATAGAGAGACAGAGAGACAGAGAGACAGAGCACAGCACATAGAACCATGTCTGAAGTTGAGATGCTGAGGGAATACCAGCTGGGATGCCAGCAGAGCTAAGGCAGAAGAAGGCAGTGGGGTAGGCTGAGACCACACACCACCAAAGGCTTTCTACCCCACTCCCTGCTGAACTCCAGACACTACACTGCACTGCACTGTAACCAAGAATGGATATCCCTGGGAAAGACGAAGGAATCCAGGTTCTGGGTGAACTGGATGGAGTGTGCCTCACAAATCAAATCCAGGCCCTGCTTCCCACTCTCACAATACTGTGTTGAACTCACATCAAGCACCGAGGGTCTCTGTGACTCTGTTTCCCTACCCACAAATGGGAAGCAAGTGATTTCTCTGGTTCTGTGAAAATTAGTGCTTTTAATATAGCATGATCAGAACAATGGCAGTAGGGATACACTAAACATCAGTTAAGCAAAATGCAAATGCACTCCATGGAATGAGGCAGCCAGGAGCCACCCAGTGTGGCCACACAGAGGGAGCAGCATAGGACAGCAAAGCCAGGGAATGTGGAGCTCCAAGATCTAATGCTGGGTCTGCCCTACAGCTGTCTCAATCTCTAGGCTCAGTTCTCTCCTTATGTGGAGATAAATAACATATGAAAATGAAATAATGCAGTTGCATTATAAAAACACTAACTGGCATACCCAACCTGTTCTCAGGGACCACATACAGCAAGGATAGTTCTTAGTTCAGTTCAGCACAAAATTGCAAACTTACTTAAAATGTGTAAGAGTCTCAGCAGCGTGTTTGTTTGTTTGTTTGTTTATTATGTATTTGTAGCTCAATCACATCATTCTTGAGCCTGGACTTTGTAGACAACAATACAGTGGTGTAACGCAAATAGGGACGTGCCTGTGTGGTCTCTATTTCCCATATCCTTAATTCAGTAGGGAATCTGTGTTTTAATCCGCTGAAATGAAAACCAACCCACTAAAGCATGTCATGAATATACAATGAACCACTCATGAAGGAAAAGTAGTGAAGGAAACTCAGCCTCAGAAACCAAATGGAGCAAGCTGGCTAGATGACTTCCCAGAGATGATGTGAGGTTCCCAGTCATAGTCTAAGTCTGCAAAGTCTATGGACCCTGAAGAAGTCCACTGGCTGCCATTCCCCATGTCTGACAGCAGAGGGGACAATCATCCTATTCATAGAGGAATGGCCTCAGCCACTCCCATCCTGGCTTATTGAGCTCAATAAACTAACACATATATAGTCATTAGAACTTGAGATCTGGAAAGTTAAAACCTCATCCAAAGTCTCAGGCTCACAGATAGATATACCACAGCCCAGATCATATGGTTCTAAGGCTGGGACGTGACTCATTTCACCAGACCTACCTCACCTTGAGCCGTCCTGCAAGAGTAGAACATCTGTAGCATCTCAGAAGCTCAGTTTCCATAGCCACGTACAATTGTCTGGACAAACACTTTAGTGGGCTTGCTCCCCTCTGTGCTTTGGTAGATATATTTTACAGATTGCTAATCTTCCCATACCCAGTAGCCTGAACAATCTACATCTCTGTCCCTTGTACTACAGGATCTTCAGTTGTCTCCTCAGACACGTGACAATCTCAAAAGGAAGGTCTATCTCCCAATTATGGAGAACACACACTCTTAGGGATCTCAGTTACCAGTGACAGAGGGACCTTGGGTTCACAGCCAACGCATGCTGGGATGAAGTCTAGCAGATGGAAGGACCTGTCTTTCAAGAGAAGATGGAAACTTCCCTCCTGCTGATGTAAGAAATTAGAGTGGCTCTTGAGAGCATAAGCTATTTTAAGCATACATCAAACATAAGAACTGGAAAGGAGTCTAATTCAACATGTTTAAAGTTAGGAAATGGAAATTCAGAGAAGAAGCCAGCTAGATCCAAGCCACTCTGTGTGGCAGCCAGAATGACAGAAGCCATGTTATTCTTATTTTCAGATTATCTGGTTCTAGGCATAAGGGCTCTGACAATTCCTGCAGAAAACTCTTCCAGCTGATGAACATGTTCAGTAAAATAACACGTACAAAAATAACACAAAGAAGTCAGTAGCCTTCAGGTTGGAGAGGTAACTCAGCACTTAAGAGCATTGGCTACTCTTGCAGAAGATCCAACTTTGCTTCCCAGGACCCACATGGTAGTTCACAATGGTTTGTAACTCCAGTTCCAAGGATTGGACCCCTTTTCTGGATTCTACAGGCACTGGACAACCACACGGTGCACTACATACATGCAAGCAGACACCCATAAAATAAAAATGACATAAAGGACATAGGTAAGCACATTTTAGGCAAGTGGAATGTGTTAGGTACCTATGAGAAAGTTAACAGGATTACACCAGCATCTAGGCTGTAGCTATAACAGGATGGGGATGTTAAAAAGTAATTTTCACTACATTCCATGTGTACTGAAATCAAACTATAGTACTTAATGAAAACATCCCACGCAGGACTGAAGAAACATATGCTGTAGGAAAAGAGAGTGGGATGCAGCCTACCGGTGTCAGGCTCCTCATGAGGGAAGGAAGCAAGACCCAGCTCTAAAAAACCCTTGTCCATGTCTTAAAAAGCTGAAGTATGGGTCAAGGAGGAGGACTAAGAGCTATCACCAGCCACTATGTGAGGAGTGAGATCCAGTATGTTCCAAGCCACTCTGCATGGCAGCCAAGATGGCAGAAGCCATGGCTGCAGCCTTTGACTTCCAGAGGAACTCTAAACAGACCTGACATACAGATGGAAGAAGCAAATGAGAGCTAAGGGAAGCTGTGAGTCCCTGGCACCAACTAGGTCTTCTGAGCTCTAATCCAAGGATCTTTGGCCTGGAAATGCTGACCTCTCCCTGGGCAAGAAGACTGAAGGCCATAGCGCCAAGTTTCTGGCCTTCTATACAGTTTCTTTTCAGGGTATAAGATGAGCTAACACATGCACACCTGCCATGCACATGTGCACATATAAACACAGAACACAGACACATACATGTACATATGCCTACACTGAGTAAAGAGGTCCCAGTATTCTCCTCTCTCTCTTTTCCATGGAAGTGGTACTAATTGACCAGTATAGATTATAAATACCTTTTCTCCTGGAGGTCCCCTTTCACCTTGTTCTCCTCGAAGACCCTGGGAGAATAAAGAGCAGTGACATACCTGCATGTGACTCATCTCTTTAAACAAAGGACACCTTGACAGCTGTATGATGTGGGGGCTGGGGCTTCTCTAAACTCCACCTTCCTTCCAGGAGTGGATTACTGTGCACTTGGGTAAAAATGGCTTATACCAACCATCTGACACTCCCAGGTTCTATCTTGTTTCATTAGGGAAAGGGACCCCAGGAATGTGTATTTAAACTTCTTTCCCTGGTGAGTACCACACAGCATTTAAGAATTTCTATTCTAAGAGAAACTAAGTTTTCCTTAAGCATCCAACCACCAAGTGCTTATTGCATTGGTTAAGGTGAAAGACTGTCTGGAGAGCCAGCTCCTGACACCTGTAGAGTGGGACAGAGCCACCTCCCAGACAAGTATCTTTACTTACTGGAGCTCCAACTTGTCCAGCAGGTCCTGGTAGTCCAGGTGGTCCCTGGGGCCCCTACAGAAGAGAGTCCACAAAGAAGGATGGGATGAAAAAAAAATGAAAAGATAAGAGCTTCTCAGCCAATGTTCTTTCAGAAGGACATGGTTCTACCTAGGATACATGTGCCACCCACAATGCCCATACAAGGGGTTCCCGGTCCCTGCTTCCTGACCTCTACCACATCACCCATGGCTGGTCCTTCTATCTGATACCAGGTGAAGCCATACTCACAGCCAGGCCTCGGAGCCATTATGAACCTACATGTGACCATCCCACCTCCACTTGCCCCAAGTCCCTCCACCTTCTCATGATCTGACCCAGACAGACTAGTGGCTTCAGAATCTGTGCAACTGATTGCTGTGCCTAATATTTTCAAGTTGCCACATGGCTTGTGCAGCCTGGGGAAGTCCTGACAAACAGCCTCAGAATTCTGAGCACAGTCTGGCTGACTGGAAACTTCCAGGCAGAGGACAGTACATTTGTAGGTATCTATTAGAAATCTGCTAGAATAAAAAAAAATGAAATTTTAATCATATCACACAGAGAGACAGAAAGATCAGAGAGAGAGAGAGAGAGAGAGAGAGAGAGAGAGAGAACACACACACACGGATATACATATCACACACATATACACACAACACAACACAACACAGAGAGAGAGACACCACACACAAACACACAGTCACACACCTACATGTTTTAGTGCCTCAGTGATATAAATTGAAAATGGACAATGAGAAAGGATGCCTGGGCCATCCATTTCAATGGCATCCTGGCTAACAGGCACCAATGGAAGAGGATGACCCCTCAAGTCTCTATTGCTATAGAGAATAATAATTTTTCAACTGTATGGTCCACTGTTGTAAGGATGTAGGAAGAATTATATATGTGTGGACATTTGCCCAAATGTATGAAGGTGCATGAGAAGTAGGAAGAAACCCATCCAAGCATCTCATCAATGCCTAAAGCAACTGGTTTTGCACCCCCAAGAACTGCCTGTACCCTGAGAATAGAAGCAGCTCCCAGAAATACTTACCCGCATGCCTACTTCTCCAGGCAGCCCCGGCTCGCCCAACTCTCCTGGCTCCCCCTGCACAAAATCAACACATGGTCACAGACAGGATAATGCATACCAAAGTGGCTACAACATACCTAGGTGTCCATTCCCCATAGCTCAGAACTCATCAGAAGTGAGATGACTACCAGAGATGAATTGCTGAGTAGTGACAACAGAACTTACTCTCATGCCTTTACTCCCATCTCTTCCAGGGGGCCCAGGTGGGCCCAGGGATCCCTAGAAGGAGAGAAAGAGAATACCAATTACAGTGGCATATTAGAGGAAGCATTACTCAGGGGGAAGGGGCTGGACCAGGAAAACAGGTTCTCTTTACCACTAGTGTTCCTGTAGCTGCAAGTAAACTCTGCCGACAATAGTTCTCCATGCCAGGTTTGTCTATAACACCTTTTCATAAGCATATGAAGATACAGCAGTGACACAGAGCACACAGGAAATGGGCAACAGCTCCTGGGATCCCCATCAACAAAATGGGAGAGAAAACACCATATTTGTTCTCCCAGGGCTAGGAAGGACTAATTGCTTCAGGTAGCGGTGAGTCCTGAAGCATTGGCTGAATGAAAATGATTAGCTACAGATCTTTCCAGTAAGAACCAGCAGTGTAAAATCATAACAATTGTGATTGCTTAAAGGAACAATGAAGATTCTGCAACCCTGGGTTCACCATAATTGTATGTTTACTGTGAGCTCAGAACTAGGTGCTCTGCAGGCATCGCCACAACCAACATTAATCTGTGTCTCACTTAGCTTGTGAAACAAACGCACAGGAAGGTGAGGCTCTGCTCAAAGCCACAGTATGTACTGTGGAAAGCTTGACTCAGCCCCAGAGAACGCCCTTTCACTTATGCCACAGCATCTGCACACACATCAGCCCTGCAGCTGCTTCACGATCCTACAGACCAAATGTTATTATCTCCACTCCTTCTGTACTCATCAGAGCATAGAGTGGCCTCTCAAGACCATCCAGAAATCCAGGAGGCAATATGAGAAAGGTTGGAAGAATCAATTCTTGAATAGACCATAGCTCTTCCTCTCCAAAGACCATGTCTTCCTCCTCAGCAAATCTCACTGCACTAGAAATATTGCAGTCTCTTTACAATATGGAGGTAGACTCTCAGTACAAGGCCAAGAGGCTGAAACCATGGTCAAGATAGGGAGAGATCAAAACTTCTTTTGTTTCACCTGTCTCCAAGGCACATGCCCAAAATCACCTTCGTTGTCCTTCCATTGGAAGTACCCCAGCCTTCTTAACTCTATATCTTTCTGGTCTATAATTAAGTCTAAGGTTTTCCGAAAGAGAAAGTTCACAAAAAAGTAAGTACATCCTCTGAGAAATTTCCCTCCAGGGTGCTTCACTCAGATGAGATCTATCTGGGCACTAAGTGGAGAGTTTATCCAACACACTAGTTACCCACTTGAAATAGCACGTTCTTTGAAAGGCCAGTCTGTCTTCTGGCTCCTACAGGTTTGGATATTCTGTAGCTGAAAGCAGGGAGGAGGTGTCAGATGGGCTCCTGCTTTGGGAATAAATGTGAGGACAGCAGGGCACAGCTGGTTCAAGGGGCGTCTAATAAAGGGAGTCGGGGGTGGAGGGAGACCAATGACAATGCCAAAGAGAACTCTGAAGAGTTCCGGAACCTCTGCCTGTCCTCATGGTTGTCACTTTTCTAGCTTGTTGGTTCTAGCACAGAGACAAGCAGAGGAGGTGCTTATGAGTCTGACCCTAAAACTCTTGAGAGAGGAAAACAAGAGGACATTCCCAGTGTCATGATATGGAACAAGGGCTATGCAGATATTCTCTGGGCATTAATCCTTTGGAGAGCCCTTTGGCTTTTAAGGGAAGGTTACGACCGACCCCTGTTCCAAAACATGCAGCCCATACCAGCAAAGTGAACAGTCCAGTGTGGAGGAAAGAGAATAGTCTCAAGAACTAGCAAACTTCAGCTTTAAGCTGAAGTTTATTTTACCCACAGTTAAGTCTTGATGGCCTAAGGCAAAGCTAGTGACAGGCTCTGATGTGTCTATCTATGGGGAACTATACCTAGCTTGGAATGCTGGATTGTCCAAGGACATGGATAACTTGGTGATTAAGTTTCTGATGAGGAACACAACTGGCCACATAATGGTTTGACATAAGTACAAGCTACTCATCCTTACACAACAAACACTGAAGGATTGTTTTCTAACTCAGACATGTAACAGTTCCCCACCACAATGTGTATGTGTGAGTTATACATTTTTTTCAAATTAAAGTTTATCATTTTTTCCCTTCCTTTTCATTTCTCCAACCCCTCTCATGTACCCCACTTCATTCTCTCTCTCAAATTTACGGACTCTGTTCTTTTGCTACCTAAGTGTGTGTATGTACTCTGTGTGTGTGTGTGTGTGTGTGTGTGTGTGTGTGTGTGTGTGTGTGTTATCCTAAACACATGCTCAGTCTATACAAGGCTTCTTGCATGTATATGATTTCAGGGATGATCATTTGATATTGGATAACCAATCAGGAGCCTCTTCTCTGGGAAAGACAATTTCTCCCACTCTCGTCATTTCTTAGTTGCCTATAGTTCTTTGTTTAAGGTTGGGACCCTATAAGATCTCCTCCTTCCACATGTTAGCATATCTACTGGTGGTGTCCTTGTTTAGGTCTTGTTTAGGCAGCTATGACTTTGTGGGTGTAGACCCTCTGACATTTCTAGGAGATGCCATCTCACACAAATTTCCTGTACCTCTGGCTCATAGAATCTTTCTATGCTCTCTTCCTCAATGATCTCTAAGCCTTGGGTACAGAAGCTGTGTTACAGATGTACCATTTAGGATTGGATAGCACTAAATCACCTCTCTGTGCTGTAATCAGTTGTGATCTACTGTAATGATCTCTGTCTGGCTAGACTCTGGTGCAAGATGTGTGTGCTCTAGCTGGGCTGAGGTAGGATGTGATGTATGAAAGGCCTACAGGTTGGAAGGGATATGGCTGCATTATATTTATATCATTAAGAGAACCAAGTCAAAAAAAAAAAAAACCAAAAACCAAACAAACAAACAAACTTACCTAGCCTGAGCAATTTCCATCCTGAATTTGTTACTATGAGCTATATCTTTGATGTACTAGGACCCTGTAATCTGACACCACAAAACACTGCCTTGCCCTCACAGTATGCCTTCCAAAATGGTCCAAGTAGATTAATCTACAGCTAAACTGAGGGAGGGTCTTTGAACAGAGAAACTCACAACCTAAGCCAACCTGTTATGTGCCATGAAGATTATCACTGAACTCTGAGCCCCAGTCTCCTTGTTTGTAAGATTGCTTCACGCTGCTTACAGATGGAAAATGAGTATGCATGTGTTTTACATAATATAAAATATTATAGAAGCCATGGGTATACCTCAGTGGTAGAGCACTTGCCTGACATGTGAAAAGTCATTACCAGCATCAAAAGATCTACCATCTATGTATCTATGTGTGTATCTATGTATCTATCTGTCTGTCTATCTTTCTATCTGTCTATCTATCTGTCTGATAGTCTATCCCCTATTGAAAACTAACAATGTTTCCTTCCCCATGTTTAGCAAGCTTACTCACTAAGAATGTGAAGGCAAGAGGTCTGAGAGTTAAAGTCATCTGGGCTATACGATGAGACCCTACAATAAAACAAAGTAAAACTATAAAACAAAATCATCCCTACCATAACCACATAGTGAATCAGCAAAGAGTGGAGAAAAGAAAGGAGGTTTCCCTGGACTTTGTAAGGTTGGTCAGCCTGGGAAGAGTCCCAAAGGAAATGTCTATAAAAACGTTTCAAAAGACAAACCAAAGCAGTCAGGTAGGGAAAGGACAAAGAAGGTAGAGCAAGGTCTGAACTTTTACACATTCTCTGTGGTCTGCTAGCTTAGTGGAGCAACACAATCCCTCCCAAAGTCTGCCTGTTGTAGTTCCGATGTTGAAACCTAACACTCATGCAGCAGTATTCACAGTCCAGACCCATAGCGGGTAGGACTAGTGCCCTCACAAAATAAGTTCAAGGGAATTGGCTGACCTCTTCTGCCATGTTAGGACACAGCCATAAGCTGTCAGTTATGAACAACACATCCTTCAGGCATTGCCATTTTGCTTTTCCCAGCCTTAACACAGTGGTCAATACACTTCTGTGTGTAAGAATTATCTATTTATTGTTGACGGATGCTGTGATAAGAAAAATAATTTTTTTTAGAAGTATAGCCATCAGTAGATTTCCCATTCTCCAGTGGACAATGTCATACCTATGAGTAGTACTAATGAGATTCAGTGGGAAAGAAAGAAAGAAAGAAAGGAAGGAAGGAAGGAAGGAAGGAAGGAAGGAAGGAAGGAAGAAAGAAAGAAAGAAAGAAAGAAAGAAAGAAAGAAAGAAAGAAAGAGAAGTAAGTAAGGGTAGGAGGAAAATGTGATATGACAGGAGGGTCCTGGGAGGAGTATGTACATACAATGTATGATCAACATTGTATACATATATAAAATTTTCAGAGAACAAATTAAAATTTACCCCATCCTTGGTTTTGGGCTTTATCAGCAACACTGAACTAAAATATGTTTCCTATGTCTTGACTCTATTTACTGCAAAAAAAAAAAAAAAAAAAAAAAAAAAAAAAAAAGCATGATACAAGGGGGAATCTGATTCTGGCCCAAGAGTGGCCAGGTAACGCTTTCAAGACAGGAAAGTTCAAACCAAGCAAGGTGGTACTGACATTTGGGGTGGGTTTTCTAAGCCTGCACATGTCACTCATAAAAAGGAAATCATCACTTTGTTTGAAAAATTGTGAAGCCGGGCAGTGATGGCACACGCCTTTAATCCCAGCACTTGGGAGGCAGAGGCAGGTGGATTTCTGAGTTCGATGCCAGCCTGGTCTACAGAGTGAGTTCCAGGACAGCCAGGGCTACACAGAGAAACTCTGTCTTGAAAAACCAAAAAAAAAAAAAAAATTTGTGAATAGATAGCATGCATGCAAGAAGACAACCAAGGCTGCTAGGAAAGAGATTTCCCCAATTTCATGCTTAAAATTCTAACTCAAATTTTGTAGTTTTGATTCCAAGCCTAGACTTGCACTTCTCTGTCCCATGATTACACGAGAGACAACATCTAGTAAGACATTACTCATACACCGACACCCACTTGTCAGATCCCAAGCCTCAGGGACTTTGGCACTTCATTGAGCAAGTGTAATTACCAGATAACAGATGTCTCTTGCTCTCTTGGAGAGCTGACTGCCATGGCTCATTTCGAAATGCCCCCAGCTAGAGAAACTATACCAGTGTGATACTTCATCTATCTGGCAACAAGCATGCCAAACGAACCCCTCTGAGAAAAGTGTTAGGAACATTCTAGACAGAGGCCCTCAAAGTGAGAGGATTCTGGGCCAGTCCTACAGTAGTACAGCCTGGAACCCGATTAAGCAGACATGTTCTGTCACCCACAGAATGTCCAGCTCAAAAGTTAAGCTAAATGGTGTGTGCATGAATCCTTGGAGATAATAAGGAATTATAAGCTGTTGCTACTGCTACTGCTCTTACATGCCATTTACATTATTTTAGATAAACTGAAGGAAGGACTGGACCTTTACACTGGCCTCTATGAGATCCTTTCAGTGTACACTCTCTCAGATTTCTGGGGTCTTAGATGCTGCAGAACTCCTCCTCCGGGCAGGAGGGACACCAACACGGGAGAGTTCTGACATGGTGCAGCTGCCAACCTCCTAGGATAAGAACTTATTAGTGCCAAGGGTGTAAAAGATGTCATTTGGTATTAAAAACGGAACACTGCTGGTGTAAGAGTCATTATATGTAATGCTCATAAGCTCTTTTCATAAATATAATTATTACTTTTCATTAGTTCATTTAATCCTTGCAAAAACCCATCTGGTTCTAATATTACTGTATTTGCCAAGCCACAGAGGAGAAAAGCCAGGATTAGAGAAATGAAGTCATGGTCCCTTGTCATGCAGCTGCTAAGTGGCTGAGCTAAGGTCTGAATCCGGTAAGTCTATGCCTAGGGTCCTCCCACCTGGCCTGACTGAACACAGTCTAGCAATCCAACATTTTCCTTTCTCATATAGGCCCTCAACCTCTGGTTTGAAGCCCTTGGTCTTATGACTTTGCAAGCACCTGAGTGTCACATGAAGGGAGAAGAAAAATTGATGACTTTCTCTATTCCCTTTTAGCCCTGGGCTCTGAGATTCTTGAACCCAAATGTCTTCTAAGGTGCCTTCCAGCACCATAGAACTAAAGTATCTTGGTTTATTCTTTCAGTATTTGCCCTCAGCAAGCAAGGCTAGGTGAAGGCATATAAACAAATTTTTTCCTAAACCCTTTTAATTTCTGTAAAAATAGTAGGAGAAACTTGGCCATAGCCATCCAACTCAATAATCACATAATGTTATCTTCTTGTTCCAAAGCTCTACAATGGGGAATCATCTAGTAAAACAAATGATTTATATACAGAACAGTTTAAGGATCAAGAACTCGTAGATAACATTTCATTCAGAAGGGAACAATGAATGGCCATGTATGTACTAGAGACACACAGCCTCAGTACAATAACCTACCAGCTCTATGATCTTGGACACAGTCGAGCCTCTCTCAGAATGTTTGAAAACTAAGGACTGGATTGTGACAAAAGGGTAGTTAAAGGGTTATGTCAGGAGTTTTCCCATTACACGCTACTGTGCCTCCAGACAAAGTCCAATCAGCATTCTAGACAAGACCATCACATTAGTCAATAGCTCTGCTCTCTGTACAGCTGCCAAAACTAACAATACCTTCTGCTACTAGAAACAGCATGTTAAAGGTGAACCCATTATTCCTTGCTATATCTTGCGATTCTCCTTTCTCAGATAGCCCTTCTCTGAGACACCACATGCCAACCTAGCTGGAGAATTTAGAAACAACAGTAAACTATTTCAAATGGTCCAACATGCTGCAGGTCCAAACATCATGACCTGGGAAGATTTAACCACCGTCTTGTGAAGATCACCTGCTGGTTCCTGAAAACGTTTTCTTGCTTATGCATGTATATGATGGGATTGTAAAAGAATCTCCCTTGGGGCCCTCTCATAAGGACACTGATTCTACTCATAAAGTTTCTATCCTTACAATGGCATCACATTCCAAGGAGGATTTTGAAATGTGAGATTTTGAGGGAGCAAATATCCAAACATAAATGGTTCTGGTATGGATAAGTAATGTATGATTTGGGAAACTCTGGACACTATTCTAGAAGAGAGGTATCCAAATGATATCCACACATGGCAAGCCTCTGTCTTCATTGTACCCTACTTTACAGCCTTTCTTCCACAAACCCTTGTCACTTTGCAGTTTCAAATAGGGCCTGCTTTGGCAATACCCTAAGGGTGACTGCATTAGGCCAAAAGGGCCCATTTCTTTTACAGTGTGGACAGTTCAAGCTGGGTGTGCCATGTTGGGGTCAGAGAAGTAACAGCATGAACATAGGCCTATATGTCACTGGCATTGTCCCCAGAGTCAAGTGAGAATGTCCCTTTAGACACTGACTGTTCCATTAGCCACACAGTGATCAGAGTGACTGCCTTGGTGTGTGTGTGGGCATGTGTGTGTGTGTGTTTGTGTGTGTGTGTGTGCATGCATGTGTGTGTACTTTTTTGTGTGCACATAAAAGATAGAACTATATATATACACATATACACATTAAGTATTGCATTAATTTCTCTTTCCCTTTCACCACCTAGATTGCATATAATTTACAGAGTTTTGAAAATTGGCAAAATATTCTATTTCCGGCTACTCGTTATTTTCCTAATCGGGATTTTGCACTGTGGGGCTTGACTGTATTATTTATGTGTAATTTTCACACTGTGTTCCCCACATCATCATTTGTTTCTAGTTCCATATAAACATTATTCACACGTTTTTGTTTCTAGTTCCATATATACATTATTCACATATTTTGAGTCTCACTAATAAAATCTGTTTGGGTATATAAGCATACATTTCTTAATGCTTCTTAGAGTAAATGCAGAAGGAAAATTACTGATGGGCTCTCTCTAAACATCTCTTCATGTTCTCATAGATCAGGTCCTGTATGACATAACCATCCCTACACCAGGGGATGATATAGCCCATCCCAGGGTACAGCAGCACAGACTCTGCCCTCATAAGACCCAGATCTCCAATGACATCAGTGACATACATGTCCACTGTGAAGTCTCATGGATGCCTCTCAAGGGCAATTGCATCATTTTGAGCACATTAATAACAAACTCAGAGTCACCAGTGGTGTGTCAGTGCTACATTAATGGAAGAAAAGCACTTCCCCATGGAGTAATTTAACTAAGAGTGACCCCATATTTGACTCCTCTACTTCTCTCTCCCTGTGTCATCTGCAATCTCCTGTCTATTATATTAATCTGCCTCTATGCCTGTCTGACCACTGTCTAGTCAATCTCTCTGTCTCTATGTGTGTCCCTAACAAAATGGGCTTTATTCGGTATTTATTCAACAGCACAGAAAGCATCACTAGGGTAGGAATAGTACGTGTTACAGAAGTCTTAACAGTTTTACAAGGGATGAAGTTACTGAGTCCAACTGGCCCCAAGGGCTATCAGCGATTTCTGGATGTTGTCTTCAACATTAATTACAAATAGTCATTTTATATGGTTGATTTCAATGTATTCCTCTTTCTCTCATGTATTATCATAATATGCACACGCAAATAAATTACTCTGGATCAGGAGCGCATTCTCCTCCAGCCCTCTGTCTGATCAGTCACAACACATCAGCTCTATCCCTCAGTCCCATACCCTTTAAGTCACCCCTTGACTCATTCTCAGATCTCTCTGGATAGTCCCCTTTCCTAGCTCTCTGTTCTTGCTGAGCATCCTCAGCTTCCTGACCACACAGAGACTTTTCATTTGTTCCCTATCACAGTGCACAAACTCTAAACATGTTTTGATACCTGATGCCCTATCTGGTGGTCCTCAAGTAGTTTTTCTGGCTTTGTCCCCATTCAGCTGGGTACCAGGAGTTACTCTCTGTCCTAAGCAGTGTAAGGCAGTTTCATATGAAGCAAGTTCTCCTCCTGTTCTACTCTCTCCTGGGGAGTCCTGTCCAGGCCACTACTTCTGAAGCACTGCTAGAGCAGTCTATTTTCCAGTACACTGTTCGATGAGACCCCAAGACATTCAGTCCCTCTCCCTCACTTCTCACAACCACCATTTCAAGAATCAGCCTGCTCTCCCCCTCCTGCTGTGTCTGTCTTTGCTTCGACCACCCAACTCAGGGAACACACTGAAGGCAGGCCTGCAGACAAGGGGCTTCTTCTCCCCACACAAATCTATAGAAGGGTAATGTAGTTACACATACTTCTCACAAATTCACCCATGGAGAAGAGCAATAAAGGGAGGCTCACCTTCTCACCCTTTTCCCCATGCATGAAGGGTCCTCTCCCCTAGAGAAGGAAAGCAGAAGGCACAGGGTTAGTGAGGGAGCGTCTCTTTGCTGTGGCATCACTCGAACCATCGAGCAACTACATACTACCTAACTACATACTATCTCATCAACTCTGCCTGACACCTCTGAAAAACATGGGCTGTTATTCACTGCAGATTCTCATTTGTGTCCCCTCATTTAATTTCCCAATAATTTAATATTATAGATACGATTTGTTGTTTTCATAACAACCTTATTGGGATATGATTTGCATACCTTATAATTAACCTGTTTAAAGCAACTGATTAAATGAATTTAATTTCCTTACAGAGTTATACAAGAATAATCACAATCCATTTCAGGACATTTTCCCCATTTCCCAAAAGAGCCCAGCCCACTGGCAGCTGCACCCATTTCCCATTCCCAGCCCTAGACAAATACTAACCAGTTTTCCATTGTAAACAGTTATAATAATGTTCCCCTTAATGACTGCCATCTCTCACTCAGCAAAGTCTTCTACGATTCACCCACATTGTAATACCCCATAGCACAACTTCCCTGGTTGCAGACTAATACAGGAATGTTCAGACCCAGGACACTTTACTTACTCATCCTTTATATTATGGCCACTGGGTTGTTTCCACTTTATTATTAAAAGAATGACACTCTGAAACTGTGAGCTTACGTTGTTCTGTGAGCATTCACTTGTGTTTCTTTTGAGAGGGACTGAATAGCTGTATAACATGGTAACTCCATTTTTAGGCTTTTGAGAACTACATGACTGTTCTCCCAGAGGCTGCAGGATTCCCCAGCAGCAATGTGGGAAGGCTCCCAGGGTGCTGCATGCAGGTTGCTCTGGCTTTCACTGGGGATAAAGAACAGAAGGTTGCAGCCACTGCTGTGGAATTGTCTGTTTCTCCTTTGAATTCTACCAATTGTATGTTACGCATCTTGAGGCCCTGCTGTCAGTTGCTTATGTTTATTACTAAGTATCTTAAAGAAACTTTAAGGAACTGACTTTTGTATCCAAAGCTATCTCCTTCTATGAACTATTCTGACCTAAAGTCCATTTTGTCTGATAATGGTATGATCATCCTAATGTTTTGATTTCTAATTTAAAAATGTATATTTTCAACCCCCCTCCTCCTTGTGTGTGTGCTGTCTGTGTGTGTGTGTGTGTGTGTGTGTGTGTGTGTGTGTGCACTCTTAGAGCTAGAACTCAGGGCTTTGTGTCTTCTAGGCAAGGACTCTACTACTGAGTCACACTCCCAGTTCTCTGTTTGTACTCTTGAATGTAAAGTATATCTCCTCTAGACAGGATGGTAACCAGATATTTTACATCCTGCCTGAAAATATTTTTAGTTGATCTATTTAATATACTTATTAATAATGCTATTATTGACAAAAGTAGATTTATATCCATTAGAATAAGTATATGAGGTCTTCAGAGTATAGAGGACACTGCAAAATGGCTGGTTTCAGGCATTACAAAGGTACAACTTTGGAAGAACAGAACTCTGGGGATAGACAGAATGAAAGGAAAGGCAAAAGAATACTATGGTCATGTCCAGCAGGTAAAGAAGAGAAGGCTTCATCCCATGACTCAGATACACTCAGTGGCTACATCCACCAGGATGACACCACTTGCCAATCAATATGACCAGGCTGGGATGCAAGTGGGAGCTCTGGGACTCCTACACCAGTCATGTGGCCCATTGATATAGAAAAGCAGCTTCTAACTTACAGTGTCTCCTTTTTCTCCCTTGGGTCCAGGAAAACCCATTAATCCAATGGGTCCTGCATCTCCCTAAAGAGTTAAAAGCAAAATGAACATTAGGTCAGATCCTCCCCAAAGCTCTCCTAGATTTCTGTTATCACAGGCTGCCCACAGCCAACCTTGCCCCAGTTCCCTAGAAGAACTGAAGATATCCTGAAGTTATTCTGGATGACTGAATAATGAGGTCACCTGTTCTATCTTGGAAAGGAAAGAAGCACCAAAGTCAAATTCCCTCATATTCCTTGAATTTATTCACAAATCATAGGCCCTGCCAGGCCTGAACATTTGCTTCCAGGGCCTTTGTGTGAATGCTACAACAATCCTTTATCCTGGTGTCAACCTGCTGTGGAAAAGGCATGTACTAATACTGTGGCATATAAATTCAACACCAAGAAAGACAGGAAGCAGTAAGAATGAGAAGCAGAGAGGCCATAGTGGGGCAGGAAGGGGGTTGGTATGGAGAGAAGAGTACAGTATAGTATTTAGATATGATGAGCGAACTCTAGGCGTATATGGAGAAAGCAGGAACAGGAGGAGCCAAGAGACATACATACCCATCTCCATGTCTCCGCCACCATACTCTAGCCCCAGACAAAGTATTAGTTGTGCAAAAGCAAAGAAGCCCCCTCCCCTATGCAATGACCTCCCACCTATCAGTGTTCCAAGACCAAAACATAAAGAAGGTAGCCTGTTGGAGAATGGAGGAGGAGTAAGAGGCTACTTGAAACCAAGGAACTTTGGCACAAGAAATTAATACAGTTTACACAATTCTAATAACTCCTAAATCCCATGTCTTAAATGATTCTGGAACCAATCAGCTTGCAAGGATCGATGCAGAATGAACAGACTTGGGAGAGATGAGCCTGTTAGAGCACATGAGTTGTCGGACTGAGCCTGGGCAATCCTGCCCTCCTGTCTATACATTTTCAGGCTGAGAGGTGCAGTTCTGGGACGGTTGGCTTGAAACTCATGGCATTTGTTCTTAGTGCAGCATCATAACCAGCTCCAAGGCAACCACAAGGGAGGCAGGACAGTGCTCTAACAGACCCCTGCCATGATTCCATGGAAGTTAAAGCAAAGAACACTATACCATGCAGGTACTGACCTTCTGACCAGGGAGCCCCACAGGGCCAGCAAAGCCCCTTTCACCCTGCAGGAAAAAAGACAAGAAGAAACAGTAAAGCCCATAAGTTAATTCCTCCCATCTTTCATATAAGTTAAATTACCACTCCATGGGCTGGAAAACTAGTCTTATGCTAAGTCAGGTTGGTCAGAGAGTGAGCAGAAAATTGCTGATGTCTGCTGAGAGTCCTGCTCTCCAAATGCAAACCTGCAGGGATAACGTCACCATGAGTTGGATTAAGACACTGAGGGTATTGATCCAAACATACTGTTCCCAGATATTTCTGCTCCTTTCCTTGCCAACCCCATAACAGTGTGTGTGTGTGTGTGTGTGTGTGTGTGTGTGTGTGTGTGTGTGTGTGTGTGTGTAAGGTCACAGGTGTATAGAGAAAAAGCAAATGAAAGCTTTGGGTACAAACCAAGAATTTAAATGTGTCGAGTGGAATAGAGGTATGACTTTCACAAGCATGAAGCACTTCTAAAATTCAAAATGATGTCCAAACCTTTATTCATAAACACATATATACACCCCACATGCACATAATGACATATATTCAGATTAGGGAGTGTGGCTAAGCAAAGGAAACAGCAAAAATGGGGATCACCTAAGTAACAGTCAGAGAGAACCCAGTAACAGATTGTTAGCTGCAGGAAAACAGTAATTACATCTAAGCCTGAGAATCTCCCTTCCCAGTGTGAACAAAAGGTAAGAAACAGACACTCCAAGGAACATAATGGGGTTCTGAAAGCCACTGTGAGCCTGGCGCCATCCTGGCCTGCTAGACCAGGTGTGATGGGAGGCTCCCACTTTCCCTCACTGGCAGAGTGGTCCTGCCAACCGACCTTGCCTGCTGCCCTCAGCTCAGATGCTACAAGCTGGGAACTGAGGACAGACTATGGAACTTAGGGTGGACTACCTTTTCTCCAGCTGGGCATGAGCAGTTGATGGTCTTCAAGAACCCAATCTGTTCACTCCCTGGGGTGGGCAACTGTGGAGGCGCAGGTGGAGGCTCTGTCACCACAGTCACCTGACACTGGAAGGAAAGGTCAAAGAATCAGAATCTGACTGTCCCCTGGTGAGGATCATGATCACTGGGACTATGAAGGGCCTGGGCAAAGGAAAAATACCTAGAAGCTTCAGAGGATGAATGAGTCAATAGGATACATCTGACAGCAGGTCTATGGGTCTCCTAAGGCCTTAGTGTGGATAGGCTAGGCAACCAAGCTCTAGATACTGGCCAGCTCATCAACCTGGAGGAACCACTTAGCTACGTTGGCCTCAGTGTTCACCACATAGGTTGGAGACAAGGATGTTTCCCTTATCAGCTTCTGAGTCAGAGTGAGATAACCTAGGGAATCTTCCATTGTACAATCTCACACCCATACACTCCCTATCCTTACCTTCCTATTCCAACTTTCCCTATATTCTCTCATCTTCTGTTGCCGTCTTTCCTTCCTTCTCCTTCTCTCTCTCTCTGCACCCTTATCCAGGTACCTCCATATCCCAGCCCCTGCATATTATAGGAGTGCAGAGAAGAGCACAATATTGGAGCTCTTACTGTATCCCCAACCCTGGACTGCCAGGCACTGAACATGGAGCTCACCCATGAGCCCTGGGAAGAAGGTTCCATTCCAATCTCATATTTCAAGCATAATTTGGAACTAGGATTTGGTAGAGAAACAGGGAGGAGATGGTATCTGAGACATGGGTGATGAGGTCAGAGAGGAGCAGACCCTGCAGATAAAAGCCTAGTGGGTCCAACCCTCGGTTCTGAGGCCTTTAGCATCCTAACCGTGCCATCTTACTGCATATCCCAAAGCAAGGTAGCTTCCTGTCTTCTGAGCACTGACTGCATCGATCCACTGTGATCTCCTTATAATGCCCTCCAATCTCTAGCTTCCAGGCTTCCCCAAAGCTGGGTCATATCACTTGGCTGGAAGTTTTGGGGTCACCCTGACTGAGGCACTGTTTAACTTGGTTTCCCCCAGCTCACACTACATCAATGGTTAGAAATAAAACATGAACCCAGAATACACACACACACACACACACACACACACACACACACACAGAGGGCCCAGTGCCACCCTAGCCCAGATTGCTAATTCCCAAACCCTGAACACCTCACACTTCATACGCCATAAGTATCTCGATCCCACTCAGAACATCTGCTCACCGGGCCCAATGGGATGTCACAGCAAGTCTCCAGCTCGGCATGTCTCGAGTCACAGTAAATCACAATCCGCTGCAGGTCAAACTAGAGAACAACATGAGGAAAGAAGAAAGAGCTGGAATCTTCATGGTATCAGACTGCCTGCTTGCTCTCAGAATTCTTCCAAGCCTGTGCTGCACTGCTGGGCTGCATGGGAGGCACTGCATTGTGTACTCAATTGCCATGCAGAGAAAACTGCCCTTGCATGTTTTCACTGTACATGGATCACGGCCTTAGCCAACCCTCCAACCCCCATTTCTCTGCACTACAGCCTGTGTACCTGGAAGCAAGCTGTAAAGTGACTATACACCTGGAATCTGTCTCCTTTCTGGGATGCAGACTTCTAGTCAGAGAATGGCCTGCAGAACCATTGCCTTGAGTGCTAGCTGAGGATATCACACAGTAAATAAAATTCAGCAAACTGCTGCCCAGGCTCCCATCCACAGTTCACCATGTTTGTTTGTTTGTTTTTGCCAGCTCTCCTTTCTGAACTGACCTGGGCAACTCTAAGCAGTACAGCCTCTTTCCTGTGCACTCTGCCCTTACAACTCCATTGCCCAGAAAGACCCCTCCCTCTCGTTGTTGACAGACAGGCTGCTCTCAGCTTCCACCTTCCTCTTGCTGTCCAGGCTCAGGCTCACCACTCCCACTCACTCTGTCCATCTTCCAAACAGTACCTGGCTTGCAACACCACTGTGCATTTCCTTCATTCTCTAAAACCCCTTTCCTCTGCAGCAATAAAATTTCTGGAACCTGTGGGGTGAGGATCTGCTCTCTCTTTTCCCCAGCTCTAGAGCAGCCCCTGACACAAGAAAGATGTGACCCAGGCATATGATGAGCAGCTGAAAGAACCTTTAGCAAGAAGAACTGATAGGGGAAGGGCTCTCCCTGTGTGGGGCTAGGAGGGGTCTGTGTGACTTCAATCCTCTGCTTCTACCATGTGCTCACTAAGGCACATCCCCTCATTGACTCGCTTCAGCACGACAAGAGCAGATCTACCCATGTCTATTTCATTTCCTGTAGAGACAACACTCCAAACAGGAAGAAACTGACAGAATGCATATTTTTGACGTTGAGCAAGGCCAGTCTTCGGGAGATGGCCTGCTTTCTACATTAGCTGTGAGCCACTGACAACAGCTTGGCCATCAGACAAGGTCATATAGAGCTGAGGTTGGGAGGGGCCCCCAAATTCCACCACTGTCTATGATGCCTGTTACTCCAGGCACCTTAACTCTTCCTGCGCACTGTCTTCCCAAGCCCCAGAAGTCCCACACGTTCTATCCTGGGCCCTATTCCTGTCTGAGAGCCATACATAAATTCAGTCCACAGCAGCTGTGGGCTCAACTATCTCAGGGTTAGCTCATGGTTCCAATCCTCTCACCATATCCCACATGCAGGCACTCATCTAAGGGCCCTTTGCTAGCTCAGGTGTGGAAACAGGTAATGAATGACTGAGAGCATGAGCCAGGGCCCACCAAGCTGAGTCTAATGTTCAGCTTAACTCAACTATCATGAAGTCACATCAAGTCTCTGATCCTTCATTTGCCCTTCAATGAGATGTTGTCACGGAGCTATAGAGGGGACTAAGGGGCTCAGAGGGCACAGTGCTTGTCCCACATCAAACTTAGACAGGCTGAGGTCTCTTCTCACCATATCTAAGGCCCCAAACCATACAGCCATAAGTGTTCTTGCCCATGCTATTGGAATGATATAAAATATATTGACTCTTCTTCTGGGCATTTAATATAAAAACACAGCTAGGGATGACTGTCAGAGGCCCAAGATTCCTTGATGTCAGATACCAACAAAACTTTCTCACTAATAGAGGGAAAGGAGGGGAATGAGACGTCTCTCCACTTAAGGAACCATTCCCACAGGGACACTTCCTGGCTGAGTATGATGACCAAATTCAAGAGTCAGAGTAGGACCCAGACCTCAGAACAAATAATAAGTACTGAGCTGAAAGAAACACTGATCACTGGTCCCCTTATGAATTCACAAATTAGAGCACGTCCTTCCATCTCTGTGCCTGGCTTTGCCTCCTAAGTGGCACAAAGTGATATCATAGCACCGTGATGTGGCACGGAGCGAGGAGCCCAGAGTTTACTATGACTATACAAGGACTCACTGCCCAGAGGCCACCAGCATCTTCACTGGATTCACAAACCAGAGTGGAGGGTCAACCAAGCCTATCCCACACTCTAGTTCTTTACTTAAAAACTGGACCATGGTTATATGTCTAAGATTGGCTGATTTCACAGCAGTGAAGAGAACAGCCTGATAATGTTCATGAGGCTGATCCCTGATGAGGATCCAGATGTAGGACCAGTGGGAACTTACCAAAAGGCAGAGTGCATGTTAGAGTAAATCTCTGAGTTCCATAGCCCATGGAAACCTCTCCCAAGACTCTGGAGAGAGGCAGAGGCCTGAAAGAAACAGCCAGGAAAGGGAAAGAGAAGCCTAGAGCCTCTGGAAAGGGACAGAGAAAAGTCTCAGTCTCAGGGTTGTCCAGCAGACACCAGTCTCAGAACCTAGGTCCTACACCTAGGAACAACCCTCTCTATTCCCACCATGGGTCTGAGTAATGACCGACTCACCAGCAGCAGCTCACTAGCTCAGCAGCTGACTCTCCAAGAATCCCAGGCTGTATTCTAGCCCTGCACCCACACGCTGCCCCTGCACACTGACCCAACTAAGATTCCTGTCTCTCCTATCTTTTCCCAGCTGGGCTCAGAGCACTCAGGATCCCTCCTTCACCTCCCCCTGTACCCCTTTCTATAATAAGCAGAGACTCCTCAGGTACAGCACTTGCCTACTTTAGCTGTTTTTGGCCTGGTGTCACCCGTGGGCTAATTTCCAGGATATATACAGTAAGCCTTGGACTTGTATCCTCCCTATCTCTTCCACCTGTGCTTCAAGCATCTATCCTCTGGCACTGCTGCTCACAAATAGGCATGTTCTACCTTGTAGCCTTTTCCTGTATGTATAAATTAACCTCCTTTAGGAAGCTACCCATATACTTCTCTCAATTCCCCCCTTACAGCCACCACACCTTGTTTAGTTTAGACATCTAGCCATAAGGTTCCATAATACATAATACCACTGTCTACTGTGGAATTTACCTAAGTACACTGAATGATCTCAACTAGTCTTCCTTCCATAGAAATCCAGGGTTTGTTAAATTCACATATCTGTTTTATAAATTCAGGCTCAACGAAACTGTCTGCCTATAGTCTTATCAGACAGGCAAGCCTATACAGAAGTCAGAGAAGCAGCATCTATCATGATGGAGCTTGCACTGCCTCCAACATACAGTAAGCACCAAATGGGTCTTCTAATGCTGCTGCTGCTGCTACTGATATGGCCTGGAAGGACCAGGTTGCTATGGAAAGGATACAGGATTTAAACCTGAAAGCCCCCTCCATGTTCTCCCATCCCAAGATGGTGTGGCACCACCTGAATATGATTTGTGGTTCTGTGTATTTGTGTGTATTGGGTGTATGTGTATTTGACTGAACTCATCAAAGTATGATTGTCTCTTGGCACCTGAAGAAACATGTCCATACCAAAATACAATGATGCTCAGGTTCTTTATTTTAATGGACTAGTGTTTGCATGTCAATCTTGTGCTCCCTTGGAGGCACCAGTATCACCAGTGTCCAGCAGAGAGCCTAGCAAACAGAAGAATCTCAATGTATATACAACAAATGGCTCAATGAGTGAGTGAGTGAGTGAGTGAGTGAGTGAGTGAGTGAGTGAGTGAG